TGAATTACGCAAACCTGTGAAGGAAACAACTCAACAACAACAACTCCAGGTATATTTTTTGATGAGGTAACAACATTATAACGTGACTTAAAACCTTTTTTTTTTCCACTAGAATCCATTTTGTGTAAAAAAAAAAAAAAAAAAAAAGTACCTTTAAAGTAGCATGTTTCTCCCACTTTCCCAATCCACGTGTTTCAGAATGAATAAAAATTAAACTCGTTGCCAGGGGAATTGCCAATTTAACAAAATCTTTATCTACTGAATTGTAAACCGTCGCCTGTAACATGAAACTCAAACATGTGTGAACTCCAGGTCTGTTTTTGAGGAGGTAACAACATTGTAACATGGTTTAAAGCTGAATTCTGTAACTTTTCTGGTGGAGGCCCGTCACCTGCTTGTTTCTATGGATACGTCAGTAGCTCTGGAGGCACCAGTAGCTCTCCACTCTGTTATAAGTAGCTCGCCAAAGAATTTCTGAATGAGGTATTATACTGAATAACTCAAATTTTATTAATTACGATTGTAAATGTGTTATTTTGAACTTTGTGCACAAATAAATGGATAATTGTTTTAGGTTTTATAGGCACATAACTGTACAACACTAAGGCTTGCCCTCTTATATCCATTACATTTTTTTAGTAGCTCTCCGGCATTTTTGTTTCCTAAAGATAGCTCGCTGGATGCAAAAGATTGGAGGTCCCTGCTCTAGAATGTTCCACAGTATGATTTTAAACAGCTCTACTTTACATTTATTTAATTACGGGTGGTTTTATAGCTCAAAAATACACAGAAAAACAACATTCTGACTGGAAGGCAATTATACCGATATGGTGTAAATATAAACGACTCAAGATATCCCACGATGCATTGCAAAACAACAACCATTCATTACTCAGGGGGTATATGATGTGAGGGGCGTGTCTTCAGAATTATAGCTGTTAAACTGGGAACTACCAAAAAGTAAGGCAGTCGGTTCAGAGCGTTTAATGATAGGGCTGCAGCATTGGAAGAGTTCATTGTTCTGCCCACAGGAAAAGTGTGTTTCAGTGAAGGGTTAAAAAGCTTCATAATAATTTAGTAAGACATATGTTATAATTCATCTGTCATAATGTCATGCTAAAAAAAAAAATTACCATTTGTTAAAAATAATCACTATGCAATATAGGTTTGGTTTACTTGCATCTTATTCTGAAGGCCCGAGGAAGTGGTCACAATAAATTATGAGTAAAGGGCCATTCACACCAAAGTGTCAAAAAACGCATTGACGTCTCTATTTGGAGCCTTTGCATTTGAGTTTAGACGCGCCCAATGTGCGACTTTGACGCCGTGGACGAACGGGAAAAAAATACTTGACGCGCGTCCGTTGCCCTGGAAACAAGAGCCCGGTCCCGCTCTTTTCCCGAAACAATGTCAGACCAGACTGAGAGAGACTTTAGTGTTTTTATGACATAAAACATCAGCGGAGGAGATCGGGTCATCGACTGGGGCGTATTTATATTTATACTCCACTAATGACACTGGATCAGTCCTGGTTTAGTCCCGGTCTAGTCCTGGTCTAATACCGGTCTAGTCCCGGTCTAGTCTCGGTCTAGTCCTTGTTTAGTCCTGGTCTAGACCTGGTTTAGTCCTGGTCTGGTCCTGGTGTAGTCCTCGCGATCCGCTCGGTGATTGTGGTGTATATATTTATGCTCCCTCTGGTTCTCGGGTTTTTCTTCTTGATAATAACGTCGCTGTGTCTCTGGATACTCGTCCCTGATTGGTTGACGCGGCGCATCTGACGCTTAAAGTTCAACATTTTCAACTTCTTGACGCTGACGCCTTGGACGCGCGTCTTGAGCGTTTTCGCGTTGACGCTCTAGACGCGCGTCCAAGGCTTCTCAAGTCTTCTCAAGTCACAGGCCTCAAGTTCGAGTCAAGCCCCGAGTCACTGACCTTCAATTCCAAGTCGAGTCCCAAGTCTTAGTCAAGTTTATCAAGTCAAGTCTCAAGTCCTAAAAACAGTGACTCAAGTCTTACTCGAGTCCAAGTCCCCATCTCTGGTCTTGGTCTCGTCCTGGTCTTGGGTTCCTGTGGTCTCTGACAGGTCTTAGTCTCGATTAGTGCGGCACGTTTAAATCCATTTAATGTGTTTTCAGAAAATAATTTGACAGTGTTTTCTAATACGGTGCGCTGTGCGTCACCAAGGAAACCGCTGAACATTCTGCCGTAAACGTGCACGCAGAACCCCACCAGCATGATGTATGTAAATATCAAAGTATAACTCTCTGTGTAGACAAACAGGCGGCCTACTGTCCACCTTAAAAGCTACACAATGCACCTGTAAAAAAATAAAAAATAATAAAAATAAATTTCAGAGCGTGTTACTATGGAAACGTTTTAACCTCTGTAAGTGGCGAATGGGAGGCCAAATGGTAAAATTATAATCTATGTACATATGGAGAACGCATAATTAAACCATAATTAGCATACTTAGGCGTTTTGAGAGCCTGGTGGTCTTTTGGTCTCTTTCATACGTCTAATGACTCCTCCATGTACCGCTAACACTAGCTTTCCATTTGGCTCACAGCACTCTTTACACTGCAGTGCTTTGTAAAAAAAAAAAAAAAAAAAAAAAAATGCTTTGCCCTACACTTCTCAACATTACGGTAATTGGGTTCATTTTGTCCATATTTCACTTGCACAATGGTTTTGTCGGAAGGACCACATGGCCACACATATGGTCCAACGCAAAACGCTGCCAATGACATGATCTATTAATCCCCTAAAGGCAGGAAGGAGCAGAAATATTCCAGAGTGGACGGATTTCAGGAAAATGGACACCCACGTCCAGCTGTCCAGTTGAGGTCATGTAAGGAACTGTTGAGGCGCTGGTTTTGTATTTTTTATTCATTTTTTGGAGTGAAGTTTATAATTTAACTTCTTGGTTGGACACTGAGAGCAGATACGAAATACGTAGAGGTAATTGTATAACTGTTACCTAGCAACCATAATGTTAATAAAGGCAAAATGCGTCTAAATTACACAATTGTTATGCATGGACTAATAAAAATGGATGATAATGCCTCTCTATTCTATTAAAAGAAGGTTTAAACTGCCAGAAAAATGCCTTCTTTGTGCATAAATTGTCCTTACATTTTGGACGGAGTTTTCAGAGTTGATAACAAATGGAATTCTCTTTTAGAACTCAGCACTACTTCCTGTATTTTTGTACTTTTCTATTCATTCCTTTCTCCACAAACTGCCACTTAACTGATGTAAAATTATGATGAATATTGGTAGTAACCTGGAAGTATCCCACCAAACCAAGTAATAATTACAAAAACTAAAATCTGTCATATGTACTTTAAAACATTGTTTCCCAAAGACTGAGTCGTGACCCATTCAGGTGGGTCTGAAGAGATTTTTTTTGGGTCACCTTGTCACGATCTGCATGTAGGTCTGTAATTTACTTCTACATACATCTCTGCACACCTCCCACTCCTCATTTCTTATTGTTTTTCCTTATTTAAAACTTTAGTACCATATTTTTCAGACTTTAAGGCGCTCTTAAAATCCCTTAATTTTCTTAAAAATCGACAGTGCGCCTTAAAATCCAATGTGCGTTATGTATTAATTCTGGTTGTGCTCACTGACCTCGAACTGATTTTCACAGTCTTGTTCTTTAGTCCAACAGAAGCTGAACGGCATCAGCACACAAGGAGCAAGCTGTTTTTTTAGAACTTATATTTTATGCAAATTAGCCATGTGATTTTAAGTTTTGTTTCTGTAAAAAGTAAACAAATGTGCGCAAAGCTGCATTAAACACATTATTACTCAATGTATATTTGAGTCCTCCTCATAGGAAATAAAAAAGTCTCAAGTTTCAAGTGTCGTCCGTTTGTTTCGCTTAATGCATCTTATTGTCAAGTAGAAACAGAGGGAGGACCCAAAATGCAGGACTGCTTTAAAGTATTTAATAACAAATCCATAAATCCCAAAAAATCCCAAACTCAAAACTAAATGACATGAGACAAGATGAGCCTCTGACAGTGTCAATGGACCAACCAAGGGCAGAGGAGAACACAGGGTATAAATGCACACAGAATCAAACACATCAGGGCGGGGCAAACAATCAAGACAGGAAGTAAAACTCAAAACTACAAGCAAACATGACAAATGTCAAAATAAAACACCAAAATGAGCAAATACAGCCACTACAAACATGAACCATGACACTTATAATCCTTTGCGCAATATGTATAAAAATAGAAGAAAGAATTCAACATTATTGATATTGCCCCTTATAATCCGGTGCGCCTTATAGTCCAAAAAATACGGTAATAGTAATTGTTGTGAGACACGATCATTCAGTCAACAATCAGATATCCTCATTAATGTTCAATAATGATCACAAATTTATTTTAGGCTTCATGAATAATGTCTATTGACTTGGGTCGCAAAGATTTGTGACTTTTAAAATGTAAAAAAAGTTTGGGAAATTGATGTAAAGAGGGGAGTATTAACTGAACACATCACAAATTTAGATCACTGTGTTCCCTTTTATAGCTGAAATGAACATGTTTAATAAACCTACTTTTTGTTTTTAGTCTCCTCTCCTTTTGCTCTCCGTGCTAAGTCACCACCCATTCATAGCGCAACACAAAACACAATCAGCGTGCTATTGGAACTACTGTACATCACGTCGGGTTTGTCAAGGTTGTGTGTACAGTTTTGTGTCGTGTTTTTGTATATTTATGCAGAGTAGTCGTGTGGGAGACAGGATCTTACAGCTAACCGTAAAAAGGGTTTGAAGAGGGCCGTGGAGAGATCGCTAAAATACTCAAACGTCCATGTACAGCATCTAAAACCTCTTCAGGGATGTTTTTGATGAGGGAACATTATAACATGGTAGAAATCTAAAAAAAAAAAAAACCTCCATTGTGCATAATATCCCCCCTTAAAGGTAAGAGCGCGGTAAAAATATTCTAGAGTGGGCAGAGTTGAGGAAAAGGGACACCCACCTCGAGCTGCTGGGCGCGGGGGTTCTTGGGGTCGCAGAGGGAGGTGTTGATGCGGTGGTTGTGCTTCACGCAGCGCTGGGTGGTGTTCTGGGGCATGGGGAAGGTCTGACGCACCAGAGTCAGACGCCCGATGGACTTCATCACCAACTCCTGAAGGTCGTAGTCGGAGATTTCCTGGAAGAGAGACGAGAGCGGGTTAAGAGAAATGTACAAATAGTTTCTCTGTGTGTGTGTGTGTGTGAATTTGATCCATCCTCCATGATTACCAGAGTGAGTTTATAGTGAGTAATCAGCATAGTAAAAGTATTCATGTTTGTTTATACTTTACACTGAAGCCATGTATTTTGAGAGCGAGAGAGTGAAAAACAGAAAGAGCAAGAGAGAGGGAAAGAGATAGAAAGAGATACAAAGGGCGAGAGAGTAAGAAATAGAGAGAATGAGAGAAAGGGAGCAAGAGAGAGAGTAAGAAACAGAAAGAGCAAGAGTGAGAAATAAGAGACAGAGAGAGAAAGAGGGAGAGAGAGAGGGAAAGAGACAGAAAGAGAGAGAGATACAAAGGGTGAGAAGAGAAAAGAAATAGAGTAAGTGAGAGAGAGAGAGAGGGAGAGACACAAAGCACGAGAGAGTAAGAAATAGAACGAGGGAGAGAGAGAGAGAATAAGAAACAGAAAGTACAAGAGAGAGGGAAAGAGATAGAAAAAGAGACAGAGATACAAAGGGCGAGAGAGTAAGAAATAGAACGAGGGAGAGAGAGAGAGAATAAGAAACAGAAAGTACAAGAGAGAGGGAAAGAGATAGAAAAAGAGACAGAGATACAAAGGGCGAGAGAGTAAGAAATAGAGAGAATGAGAGAAAGGGAGCAAGAGAGAGAGTAAGAAACAGAAAGAGCAAGAGTGAGAAATAAGAGACAGAGAGAGAAAGAGGGAGAGAGAGAGGGAAAGAGACAGAAAAGAGAGAGAGATACAAAGGGTGAGAAGAGAAAAGAAATAGAGTGAGTGAGAGAGAGAGAGAGAGGGAGAGACACAAAGCACGAGAGAGTAAGAAATAGAACGAGGGAGAGAGAGAGAGAATAAGAAACAGAAAGTACAAGAGTGAGAAATAAGAGAGAGGGGGAGAGAGAGAAAGAAAGAGCAAAAGAAAGGGAAAGAGAGAGAAACAGAGAGTGTAAGAAATAGGAAGAGTGAGAGAGAGAGAGTGAGCAACAGAAAGAGCAAGAGTGAGAAATAAGAGAGAGAGGGAAAGAGATAGAGAGAGGGGAAGATATATATATAGAGAGAGAGATAGAACGCACGAGAGAGTAAGAAATAGAAAGAGTGAGAGAGAGGGAGAGAGATTAAGAAACAAAAAAGAACAAGAGTGAGAAATAAGAGAGAGAGAGAGTGAAAAACAGAAAGAGCAAGAGAGAGGGAAAGAGATAGAAAGAGAGACAGACACAAAGGGCGAGAGAGTAAGAAATAGAGTGAGAATGAGAGGGAGCAAGAGAGAGAGTAAGAAACAGAAAGAGCAAGAGTGAGAAATAAGAGACAGAGAGAAGGAGAGAGGGAGAGAGAGAGAGAGATAGAACGAGCAAGAGAGAGGGAAAGAGATTAAAAAAAGAGAGAGAGAGATAGAAAGCATGGTAGAGTAAGAAATACAAAGAGCAAGAGAGTGAGAAATGGAAAGAGCAAGACTGAGAAATAAGAGAGAGGGAGAGAGAGAGGGAGAGAGAGAGAGATACAAAGCACGAGAGAGAAAGAAATAGAAAAGAGAGGGAGAGAGATTAAGAAACAGAAAAAGAACAAGAGTGAGAAATAAGAGAGAAGGAGAGAGGGGGAGAGAGAGGTAGAAAGAGCAAGAGAGAGGGAAAGAGATAGAAAGAGAGAGAAAGCATAAGAGAGTAAGAAATAGAAAGAGGGAGAGAGGGAGAGAGATTAAGAAAGAGAAAGAACAAGAGTGAGAAATAAGAGAGAAGGAGAGAGAGGGAAAGAGATAGAAAGAGAGAGAAAGCATAAGAGAGTAAGAAACAGAAAGAGTGAGAGAGTGAGAAATAAGAGAGAGAGAGAGAGAGAAAGCATGAGAGAGTAAGAAATAGAAAGAGAGATAGAGAAAGAGAGCAAGAGAGAGAAAGAGTGAGAAACAGAAAAGCAAAAGTGACAAATAAGTGAGAGAGAGAGAGAAAGCGAAAGAGAGAGGTGCAGACAGAGACAGAGTGAGGAAGAGAGAGAGAGAGAGGGAGAGAGATAGCGATAGAAAGAGAGAGAGAGAAACAGGAGAGAAAGATGGAGGGAGGGAGACAGATATAGAAAGAGTGACAGAAAGAGCAGAGACGGATGAGTGAAAGAGAGAGAGAAATAGAGAAAGACTGGAGTGAGAGAGAGAGACAGAAAGAGAGGTGAAGAGAGAGACTGTGAGAGGGAGATAGAAAGAGAGAGAGAGAGAGGTAGAGAGAGAGATTAAGAAACAGAAAGTAAAGAGTGAGAAATAAGAGGAAGAGAGAAGGAGAGAGGGGGAGAAAGAGAGATAGAAAGGGCAAGAGAAAGATAGAAAGAGAGAGAGAGAGAGAAAGCATGAGATAGTAAGAAATAGAAAGAGAGTGAGAAACAGAAGGAGCAAGACTAAGAAATAAGCGCGAAAGAGAGGGAGAGAGAAATGGAAAGACAGAGAGAGAGAGAGAGAGAGGGGAAAGAGATAGAGAGAGAGAGGTACAAAGCACAAGAGAGTAAGAAATAGAAAGAGCGAGAGAGAAAGGGAGCAAGAGAAACTGAGAAACAGAAAGAGTAAGAGTGACAAATAAGCGAGAGAGAGAGAGGGAGAGAGAAAGAGCATGAGAGAGAAAAAGAGGAGAGGGAGATGAATAGAGAGAGAAAGAGAGAGCGAGAGAGAGAAAGCTAAAGAGAAAGGTGGAGACAGAGACAGAGTGAGAAAGAGAGAGAGGGAGAGAGATAGAAAGACAGAGAGAAGGAGGAGAGATAGATGAGAGACGGACAGAAAACGAGACAGAGAAAAAGAGAAGAGAGAAACAGAGAGAGTGGAGTGAGAGAGAGAGATGGAAAGAGATAGAGGTGGAGAGAGAGATAGAAAGAGGGGGAGGAGAAAAGAGGGAGGAGGGAGAGGGACAAGGACGTTAGGCACAGGAACAAGAATGATGTGCGCTCATAAAGTGGCAGAATGGGGAACAGAGGGAAAATCGATAAGAGCTTATACCAACAGTCCACAGCCCCGAGTGAAAAACAAGGAACCATTTGAGAGCACACAAAGGTCGTTTAAGATTAGAGCACGTGCTCCATTTGATAATTACACAACTCCACCATTAACCTGAGCCAGAAATCTCACTGGTCTCTTTCTCCAGAACACAGGTGTCAAACATAAGGCCCAGGGGCCAGATCCGGCCCTCCAAGACCTTTAATCTGGCCCTCGGCTGATTTTATTTAATTATATTTTCTATTAAAATATTGGTAATTTTCTGTGGTGTTTATCACAGCAGCGTCTCCAGCGTCTCTGTACGTGGCCCCTCCCACCAGAGCAGCACAAATGAAGACTTGTCTCTTTCCAAACGCTCTTAAAGGACGATCGTTTTGACTGTTGACTGTGACACCCTCATCAACAAAATGTCACAAATGAGAAAAGTGGAGCCGAGTGCAGGAATTTACAAGAAAAATTTACTTATTCCTATTTGCAAACAAGTTAATGTTAAAACATTGTGTTGAAATTGAATTTTTCTTAAAGTTTCAGGTTGTTCATAATAATAATATTTTGTAAAAGAAAGAGTTCATCAATTAAAAAAATATTTCTGTAATAGATTTGTGTTTCTCTGCACAAATATTGGAACTTACTGTTATTTTTGGGGTTTATATGTCATGAGTTTTCTGATCCGGCCCCTTTGGGATCAAAGTCGGTTGGAAACGGCCCCCGGACCAAAATGAGTTTGACACCCCTGGTCTAGAACCAGTTTAAATGCATTCACTTCGAGATTTAGTTCCATATGAATGTAAACAAAAACCTGCTACCGACATGTTCTATTTAGGCCTATTTCCGAGTTCGAGTTGGACATATTATATGCAGATAGCGCGAATGTTCCACAGTATTGCATTGAACTGATCTATCTCCACGGAGACGCCATCAGATGAGGTTACACGTCACATCTGTGGAGAGGTGAATTCGCTCCCAGTATGCCTGCATGTCTTTCAGTGTAATTTTTAGCAGCAGCATCTCTTGTGATTGAATAAATGTTAGATGAATGCCATGCTGTGGGACATTCTAAGCCAGGGGTGTCAAACATACGGCCCGGGGGCCAGATCCGGCCCTTGGCTGATTTTCTACAAAAATATTTTAATTATATTTTAAAACCTGAAGACAGAGTTTGCTATTTTTTGCACACCATTCACAGTCAAAACCTCTGTCCGCAGACATGCAACTAGAAATAATAGATTCACAGTTACTACCTTTGTGAGCAGGTTTTCTCAGTAATGAACATTAATAAAACAAAGCTGCACTCAAAGCTGAACACAAGCACTTGATTGACATTCTGAAGACAGCAGCTGCTCAGGACATGGTGTCTGATATTGATGCACTTGTTCAGGCTAAAAGATGCCAAGTTTCAGGAGCAAAAAGAAAGCATGACTAAATTCTGTGAAATGCACACAAGTTCATGTTAAAACTTTGCGTTGAAATTGCATTTTTCTTAAAGTTTCAGGTTGTTCATAATATTATAATATTTTGTAAAAGAAAGAGTTCATCAATTAAAAAAGATTTCTGTAATAGATTTGTGTTTCTCTGCACAAATATTTAAACTTATTGTTATTTTTGGGGTTTATATGCCATGATCCGGCCCCTTTTGGATCAAAGTAGGTTGGATACGGCCCCCGGACCAAAATGAGTTCGACACCCCTGTTCTAAGCAAAGCAGAAAACATATCCATGAAGACAAACTGGTGATGTAGCCCTGACTTGAAGGTTGCATAGTTGCGATGTAGTTGCAAAAAATGCATAGCGCACTTAGATGGCCGATGCCCAAAAGCTTTACTTGTTTTTAAATTACGTTTCGGCAAAAAGCCTTTGTTAGATCATTTTTCTTGCGTTGGACCACAGTATATACATTTCCTCATCACAAACAGAGCTGGAGTTGTGTTTTGTTTCATTCACATGTTTAACACACAAACCCTGCAACCCTTTAGGCTGAGTTCCACTGTGTGACGC